GCCTCTCTTAACCATTTTCAGTACTTTGCAATTATTTGGATTGAATTCCAGCAACCTGCCTATGCCTGAAGTTTGTTAACACTTTCGTCCCCCCTGGACATCTGCGACGTCCACAATTAACTCTGTGGATGTGCGACAAAACAAGGTTTGCTGCAGGTGGCACACCGGACTTTTTTTACCTTATATACATATATCCCTTTACAGAATTCTATTGTGAACAATTTTATACCAAAATGAATGATGTAACACAAAAATTGACATGAGAAAACTTAAGAGTGTACACATTTTTGTGGTTGTGCACCCAGGTAACGCTGGGCCAATTTTTGGGTTTGCTGTGGGTGGCATGCCGGGCCTTTTTTTTACCTTCTCTGCATATATATCCCTTTAGATAATTATATTGCGAACAATTTGATACCAAAATGAACGATATAACACGAAAATTGGTGCAAGAAACTGAAAACAATATACACATTTATGTGCGAGTGTTGCAGGTGTGCCAATGGGTGTTCGTACACAGGTAACGCTTGGCCGACTTTCGGCTTTGGTGCTTGAAGGGGGGGGGGGGGGGGGGGGGGGGGGGGTGGAAACACATAGATAAAAAAATGAACAACGTAGCATGAAAATTTAGGTGAGAAAACTGAAAAGAATATACACATTTTAGTCTGGCCGTGCACCGACGCAAAACGCCCGGCACACACTGAGGTCTTTACAGTCCTCTTCAGTCATTTACATAAATTAAAAAGAACAATGGTCCTAGGACAGAGTCCTGTAGAACACCACTTTCCGGCTCTCCAGCCTGACACATCCTCTCTGACTATGACCCTTTGTTTGCTGTATGTCAAGCACTCCCATTTTCATTCCAGTGCCTTTCCTGACATTATCTTGGCTTGTCTCTCCATCTAGTGTATTAGTATTTTGAGGAACTGTATCGAAAGCTTTTTTGCAGTTTACAATCCTTCCTTCTGTTTTATTTTGGTGATCCTGTCATAGAATTCAATCAAGTTTGTTAAACATGATTTCCCTCTCTCAAACTGTGTTGTGCCTCTGTTATTAAATTTACTCTCTTCAAATGTTCTACATTCCTTTTACTGTTGATTTTTTCTACAATCTTTCTTGGAATGAATGTTAATAACACTGGTCTATAATTGATAGTAAACTACTTCTGAGATTATCACACCCTCCAGAATCTCTGTTTCGTAACTGAGCATAAACGTGTAAAAACTAGTGAGCGAATGTGTGTACAGTGTTACAACAGCAAAAATGCTTTTATAATTTACTGTAGTAAACCATTTTAGTGTGCATGTTAGTGACACACACATATTTGTATGTACAATGGGGCCTCGACTTACAATGCTAATCCGTTCCCAGAGAAGGATCGTAAGTCGAAGCGATTTTTCCTATAAGAAATAAAGGGAACTGAATTAATCCGTTCCCCACCCTCCAAAATATTAACATACAAATACATTTTATACTGAATACAGAACAATGTTTTTTTCTAACTACAATACAGTACCTAAGTTTCTTTTACCTTTATGGAGGGCTCTTGATGGCGTATGGAAGATGGTGATGAGGGGGGAGGAGGAGAGTTGTTACTGTTTGGAAGGGGAGTCCCCTTCCATTATCACATCAGGCAGTGATGATTTCTCTGGGGTACTCTCTCCTATGTTTTGCCTGAATACCACTAGGACCTGGTTGTGGTTCAGTGCTTGTTTGTCTCACTACTAATTTGTCAAGAGACATTTGTTTTTTCCTTCGTTTTAACATTTGTCTGTAATGATGCATCACAGTGTCATTGAATAGGTTAAGACAACAACCTACTGCAGCTTGATTTGGGTGAGTCGTTTCAGCAAAGGTTTGCAATTCTTTCCATGCTGCACACATTTTCTTAATTGTTGAGGAAGAGACATTCTGTACTGGCACATCCTCCCCTGAAGAAATTTCCTCAGCTACCTCTTCTTGCTGCTCCTTTTGAAGGGCTTGGAGTTCTTCGGTGGTCAGTTCTTCGTTGTGTTCTTCCACCAACTCCTCCACATCAGCACCATCCAACTCCAAACCCAATTGCCGACCCAGAGAAACAATTTCCTCAACAAGAGGCACTTCAGGTTCAGGCTCAAACCACTCAAAGTCTCGTTCTGCAACACATTCAGGCCACAGTTTTCTCCAGCCAGAGATCCTGGTTCTTACAGTCACTTCTTGCCAGGCTTTGTCAACAAGTTTTAAAGCACTATAAATGTTAAAATGGTTTTTCCAGAACTCTTTGAGGGTGAGGTTTGTGGCATCCGTCACTTCGACACATCTCCAGAAAAGTGCCCTTTCATAAAGTTTCTTAAAATTGGCAATGATTTTCTGGTCCATAGGCTGAAGTAGAGGAGTGGTGTTGGGAGGAAGGAACTTTATTGTAACAAACCTAAATTCATCATCCAATGAATCCTCCAAGCCTGGAGGATGGGCAGGAGCATTATCGAGGAGAAGAAGGGCCTTGAGTGGCAAACTGTTCTCCTGCAAATATTTTTTGATGGCAGGGCACACCACCAAATTCACCCACTCCGTAAAAAATTGCCTAGTCACCCATGCCTTAGCCTTCCACATCACACACATTTTGTGTTTCTGCACATTATATTTTTTTAAAACCCTTGGATTTTCGGAATGATACACAAGCAAGGGTTTAATTTTCAAATTGCCACTCGCATTACCACACAACATAAGAGTAAACTGATCTTTCATAGGCTTGTGTCCAGGCAATGACTTCTCCTCCTTGGTAATGTATGTTTTTTTTGGCAATCTTTTCCAGAATAGCCCTGTCTCGTCACAATTAAACACTTGTTGTGGTAGGTATGCCTCACACTGCACAAAATCTTTAAATTCGCCAATGAATCTTTCAGCCGCTGGTTTGTTTGAGCTGGCAGCCTCCCCATGCCTCACAACACTATGAATTCCACTTCTTTTTCTAAATTTCTCAAACCATCCCCTGCTCGCCTTAAATTCTTTCACTTCTGCATCACTCGTTCCAGGGGTTTTCTTTAAAAGGTCTTCATGCAATTTTCTTGCCATTTCACAAATGATGGCCTCCGAAATGCTATCACACGCTAACTCCTTGTTGTGTATCCAAATTAATAATAACTGTTCAACATCTTCAAGTGTTTGTGTTCTATGTTTCGTGATTATTGATACGCCTTTTGCCACTTTAGCACCCATAATGTTCTTTTTCTTAGCCAGTATGGTGGATATTGTTGATAGATTTGTTGTACTGCCTAGCCAGTTCAACAACCCGCACACCATCTTTATATTTAGAATGATCTCTTGTTTCTGCTCTATGGTCATTCTTACATGGGATCTCATATGTTGAGCCTTACCACTGACTTTCCTCGGACTCATGGTGTGATATATAATAATTACTTTAATGTTCAAAATGCAAAAAATCACCACAAACGCGGAATTTCTTATAGGCGCAATCGTCACTAAGCGAGCAGCTGTAGTAAACTGAGGCAAGTCGGACCGCATGACCGGGAACCACGAGCTCGGTCAACCCGAACGTGTACCAACAAATATCGGAAGTCGACAACACATTGGATGTCGAGTCGCATTTTTCGATAAAATTTACATCGTAACTCAAAATTATCTTAAGTCGGGGCAATCTTAAGTTGAGGTGCCACTGTACCAGTGTTCTGCAATATTTTATTATATAAATTTCTCAAATGACACTAGTTCATAATATAATGGCAAAATACCAGTGTAAAGTAAATTAGGGAAATTGAAATAAGTTTGTATAAACATAGTTGTGAGAACTCCCACTGTGTGCCTGGCCCGGGCGACTTCCACAGGAAGCCTGGTGCACGAGCGCTCATGAATCGGTAATATCATTACTTGATTTCATTCCTCCACCATAGCCCAAGGAAGCTACATAATTTTGCTTCATTTTCTCATGATCAGGGAATACAATTTAACAAGAATTATAATAAAAATAATAATAATAATAATAATAATAATAATAACAAAAATAATAATAATAATAATAATAATAATAACAAAAATAATAATAATAATAATAATAATAATAATTACACAAATAAATCACATTAACGTGACATATCAATGAAAAAATCAGTAGGAGCCATGAGGAGGATTCCTGGATTGTACCTGAATGGGGTTCTGGGAGTTGTTCTACTCCCCCAAGCCCGGCCCGAGGCCAGGCTTGACTTGAGAGCGCTTGGTCCAACAGGCTGTTGTTTGGAGCGGCCCGCTGGCTCACCTATCCACCACAGCCAGGTTGGTCGGGCATTTCTTGAAAACTATCCAGTGTTCTCTTGCAGACGTTCACTTTTGTTCCGGCAATATTTCTTATTGCTGGAACTGCGAGGATATTGAACAACTGTGGACGTCTGATGTTCACATAGTGTTCAGTGATTGTATCTATGGCACCTCTGCTCTTCACCTACAGTACTCCCCAACTCTACTTATGCTCTTGCTTGTAGGTAGAATTCCTAGACTATGAGTCAAGAGTGCATGGGGGCATTGTGTGACACCCTGATTAGGCTTCAGTGGAAGCCTCAGAAACCCTAGAGGATTCAGTTAAATTCCAGGTTGCAATGCTTCCGACCACATTGTGGTGTGGTGATCTAGAGCATGTATGCCCAGTGCATAGGTTCGAATCCTCCTCATGGCTCCTCCTAATTTTCTCAATAATAATTATAATAATAATTACAAAATCTGAATGTATTCTTTTTCATACATACCAGGGGTTTATCATGTAACTTGAGTGCACAAGTGAGAGGTCAGAGAGGAGTGCAAGGGTGAATAACCATTGACAACAGTCAACAGTAATTGGTGTGTACGCGGAAACACAATCATGTAGCAAAGACAGCATGGTAAATCATCAACTCCCCCATAAATCTGAATTAGAAAACTATCCATGGAGTATCTCAATAGCCAGTTGGAACCATGGACCGGCCATCTTATTAGTAATGTTAACCAAATTTCATTAACATAATGTTAAGACTTACTTGGTTCTTTGATGGTTGGTCTAGCTTTAACATCCGATGTGGATTGTGATGGTATGGGACTGATAGTTGGGGTAAATTGGAAGCTGGGATTGATGGAAGGACTTGAAGATTGAGTTGACCCGGGTGAAGGAAGTCGGCGAGCCAGGGCGGGTCTCCTTGTTGGCTGATCTGACTGGTCCCCTTGACCTCTTACTTCTATCAACTGTATATCATCCTGCAATTGTAAAATGCTTATCTTAATACATATAGAAAAGTATTCTAGTTCTTAATATTTATTTATTGACAAGGCAAATGTAATGAGTAAAATCTTGCTACTGCAGTTAAAGGTATGCATCATTCACAATGCATAATTAATGTATTATCAACATGCACTCTTAAATATATACAGTACAACATTTCTTGGAACAAAACAAAAAACCAGCGTTGAATGTAATGAAACGCCATTTTCTGGGTGAAACCCGGAGGCTCCCTGGAGCTTATCGGGCTAATATATGTTATATTAGTCCGGGACATTAGCTAAGGAGTTCAGACCTACCAGGGACCAGAGCCAGAACCTGGCCCCTTCAGAGAGGTTTCAGGGAGCAATGGCCCTGGAAAACCCCCTTGTGGTTGGGATTTTCCTTATCTGCCATTGCCAGGGGTTAGGCACCCAGAAAGGTAGGCATAACAAAACAAACCCCACATGGTAAAAAACTGGGGGACAGACCCCACCAGGCAAAACAAACAAAGGAAAAAGAAGGCTCCGCAAAATACAACGCTCCCCAGGAGGAACAGAACCGGCTGCTGTGATTTATGTGAGAGAAGTTGCACAGTACCTTGCACAGGAGGTACCACCTACGATACTACCTCCTACCACCTTCTCCCTGGAGAAGGTGGATCATTGTCACTGGGTCTCCCTGGAAAAGGTGGATCACTGACACTGGGTCTTCCTGGGCAATGTGGATCATTGTCACTGTGTAACAGAGTTTCACTAACTCTGCCCTTCTATCTTCTATCCACTTATCCAGTAATTTCTATCCCTCTCTCTGCATTCTTGAAGCTTACCAGGAGAGGGTTTCAAGAGTTCTTCTACTCCGTGAGCTCAGCCTGAGGCCAGGCTCAACTAGTGATAACTTGGTGCAACAGGCTGTTGCTTGCAGTGGCTCGTAGGCCCACATATCCACAACAGCTTGGTTGGTCTGGCGTTTCTTGCAAGAACTTGTTTAAATGCCTCTTGAATACATCCACATTTGTTCCAGCAATACTTTTAATGCTTGCTGGGAGGGTGTTGAACAGTCATGAACCCTTAATGTTCCGACTGTGCTCTTTGATTGTGCCTATGGCACCTTTACTCTTCACTGGTTCTATCCAGCATTTGCTTCCGTATCTTTCACTCCGGTATGTCGTTATTCTAATGTGCAAATTTGGTACCTGGCCTTCAAGTATCTTCCATGTAGTATATATTATTTTATACCTTTCTTGTCTCCTTTCCAAAGAGTACATTCTGAGAGCCTTGAGACGATCCCAACAATTTAGATGTTTTATAGTTTCTATCTGTGCCATATATTTTCTCTGTATTCCCTCTAATTCAGAGATCTCTCCCGCTCTGAAAGGGAAAGCGAGTATTGAGCAATACTCAAGACAGTACAGCACCAGTGATTTAAATACTATTAGCAGTGTTGTGGGGTCTCTAGATTTGAATGTTCTCATAATCAATCCTATCATTTTCCTGGCTGCTGCTATATTTGCTCGGTCATGTTCAGTTCACTAAATGTCTGGTCATGAACAGATAAGAACATGAACACTGAGTGGAGATAAGAGGTCAAGGAGGTAGAGTCGCTAGCCAGCCAGAGCCAGGGGTTTACAGTTTTGTTCAACACAGCTCAAAAATTATTTGCAACTCATAGCCAGCCCATCTCTAATGGGCTGGCAACTCGCGCTTCAACATGTGCGAGTTGCCACAAATATTTTTTGTTCGTTTTTTTGCGTACATTAGTTTTTCTTGCCAATCCTATGTATAATGAACACGTACAAAATATTATGGCAGTAGAACATCCGTACTGTCCCAAGACACTGTGTTATATGTGTCACAAATGTGTCCACATATATTGCTCATTTATCCAATTTCCATGTTCATTTATGTATATTTACAACATATTTACACACTATCACACACTATATACATTCACCATCAACACACTGAGAACTCCGCGAGTGTGAGCTGTCACATCCAGCCAACCCTCCCTCACTCCTCCAACACCTAGCTTACTCCTTACACCTTACTCGCCAACATTCCTCCTCCCACCATTCTGTTATTGTTTTTATTATACTATTTACACACGTTATGTATAGGTATCTACATGTTTTATTCACCATAACTATGCAAGTAAGCCAGTATTGTGTCCAAACAGCACAGTGGCCACCATACACAGCATGAAAAATCATACAGCAGCCAGCAGACGATGCTACGAGTACAACGTCACCTCGCTCACCAAAATGGCTCCTCCCAACATACTCCTGTTGCTGTTATTACACTATATACACACACTGTATATACCTATGTACATATGTGTTCACCATAGCGAACTACTAAGCAAGTATGGTGTGCAAAACAAAAGTGACTGCCACACACAGTGACACTACCTAGATTCCCTCCCTCACTAAAATTCCTCCTCCCACAATACTACGCACAGCACTAATTATCACCACAATCCTGCTATTATCACAATCCAGGTCACTAAATTCTATAAATGAATAATTGACTAAGTTTATTTTTGTAAAGTAACATAAGAAGTTGTTTGAAAATTCCTAGATGGACGAAATAATGCTGTGGTGCTGTGGCTAGAACTGTGAACATTGTGAACAGCATTGATTCACTGATATTTGAACATTGTACACAGTCATTATCACACTCAGGCTCTTCTGTAATACTATTATGGCTAAATAATACCGGTTACATATATATTTTGACATTATTAGGCGATGCTGTGGCCACAAGATGAACAGCAGTGCTGTGAGCTCATGCTGCATGCATCAGCCTTGGTTACTCACTCAGTAATGAGGCTCTCACACCCAGGAATGCTGCCCACGATTTATAAAAAAATGGCGTCTGTTTACAAGAGCCCTGAGGAAGCTGATGTGAACCCCATGTAGCTGCGGGAGTTTTGAATCATAAGATCCCGGAGGGGCATTGCGCACCCCCCGTCGAGCGCCTGCAGGCGCGTTGCGCAGTTCAGTGGTTAAGGCATATATATTCTGTATATGCCTTATTCATTCTAATAAAGTCCCTCCTATTTACTTTTTATTATTATTTGATTCTTGTATCTATGTAACTGTTGATATGAAACAATCTATTCCATGATATTGAATTGAGCCTGCAGCGAGACTAGCACGGGTGGGCAGTGAATAGGTCGGAAGTTTGTCAAATGCTTCCAAGCCACAAGTCAACTGAGACAGGTTATTGTCAATTATCACATTACAGTACATGCACTGTTATTTGCCTGTTTTATTAGCAAGATGTCATACTGGAACACTCAATGCTGAAGATTGTGGTACATTTTAAATAGTTGAAATACATTTCCATTTCAGAAAAATTTGAGGACATGTGGTGTAGCTCTCCTGGCATGACGAAGCAACCATCAGCTGACTGGCACTGTACTTGCCTATCAACCCAGAGTGTTGTGGAGGAGTCTGGGGGCAGAAGGTGCTGCCCAGCCCTGCCCTGTCTGTATCCCTGCTTCCCTCCCTCGTTCCCTACCTCCCAGCCTCCCCTTCCTCCCTCCCTCCATGCCTGCCTGCCTGCCTGCCTGGGCTCCCTCCTTCCATGCCTACCTACCTCCCTGCCTGTCTCTGCCCTTCCCTGGCTCACTTCCTGCCTCCCTACTTCCTTCCATCTGGTCCTTTCCTTCCTCCCTCCTTCATACCCTCCCTCTCTCCCTGCCTGGCTTCTTCCCCCCCCATCTCTTTGCTCGCCTAACTCCTTCCATACCCTCCTTGCCTGCCTCTCCCCCTCCCTTCCCTCTCTCCCTGCCTGCCTGCCTGCCTGCCTGCCTACTTCCCTCCCTCCCTGCCTGACTGCCTACCTTTTTCCCTCCCCTCCCTTCCCTGCCTGACTGCCTACCTCCTTCCCTCTCTGCTTTACTACCTACCTCCTTGCCTGCTTACCTCCCTCCCTCCCTCCCTGCCTGCCCACGCACCCTACCCGCCTGCCTCCCTCCCTCCCTCCCTGCCTGCCCATTTATAGTTAAACAATAGAGGTGTATGTTAATGATCTTATAACCCCATGCTGCAGGTCTTCACTCCCTCTACTGGGGTACAGTTGACTACACCCAGGGAGCTCTCCTAGTCATGCCTCAAGTCTGGTCGCCGCTACTTGACCTTGGACCCAAGAGGGAGAGGAGAAGGGCCAGCACACACTGCCCGTGCTTGATCCTGTAATGTGCAACACCCCCACTGGGCCTGCCCACCTATGCGCGCAAAGTTTTGCCGGACCTCAGGCCCTAAGTTCTCACCTTTTATTCCGGTCGCCAGCTGGGTAATCTTCTCTGCGTCCCAGCAATGCTTTTATTTCAAATTTGATACGATGTTGCCAATCAGGGTATCTTTTTCTATTTAATGCCAGCACTAGTGTGGTGCAATCTAATGTCATTTATTCACAATGCTCAATGGGATGGAGGAGACATAAAAGTGAAAATAAAAAGTAAAGTGAACTGAAGAGATAACTACATAAGCAAGAATGATCATATAAAGACATATATAATAGTAGTGGACAGCAGCTCCTCTCTGGTGACCGCCGGCAACTCGCGTCAGCTGGGCGAGTTAAAAGGGGTCTCGAGCCCCCCTCACAGAAGCCACCTCACCTCCAGTAGACATACAGTCCTCTCGGCTCAGCCACTCACACCGCTTGCTGTCTTCACCAGGCAGTAGACAACATATGCAAGCTGCCCTACAGCCTAATCTACTCCTAAGTATCAATGGACATTCTAGTAATAACCTATGCATACTCCTAGGCCTATCTTGCCTAATTATCAAGGGAATATGGGAGGGAATAATAATCAATCTTTAACATATCCTGCCCTCAGACTCCTGGACTCCGATGATCATCGTGGTCCTCAGTCCCTCGTGTCGTTCCTCGGCGTTTCGGCCGAGTTACAGGTCACTAGGCATCGTGAAGATACGCCTTGTCTCCGTACTCACTCCCAAACATGCAGTTCCTGAAGGCTGGCTCGACCAGTGGTTCCTGCTCACGTCGTTTCCCTCGATCACATTTTCGCCGAGACCAAATACTCATAGATCTGGATGCGACTTCTCCCTTCTGAGTTCCCAGTGGAAGTTATCGAATCACAGCAGCTCTGAGTACCTCGGCGTTCTGCTAGCGGTGAGCCACTCACTGCTCCTGCCATCACCGTTCCTCACTCCTCCAAGATCATCAGCTCACAGTCTTTGGTACCCTTACACCACTGGAGCTCGGCTTCCTCACACTTCCCTGAAGTGTGGTAGTCCTCGGTAGTCACTGCGAATATGTCAGGCTGCAATAATCCACTAGATGAGGCTCCTGGACCTCCGAACTTGAGAGCTCAACCAGCGCACGGTTACTCTCAACCAAGCGCTGTAAATCTCTGAGCGCCAGGCATTCTGCAAGCTCTGAGCCAGGCCTCCCGGTGATGTCACAGCCCCCAGGGGCATGCTCTCATTGGTCAAACTCATCACGTGACCACAGCCAGCCAATTGCCAGCTTGCTGGTGTCTTCTTGATTTTGGCACACTTTTGTCGGCCCGTCGCCATTTTACATGCACTAGGGGCGTAAGCCCCCTTGCAAGCCAAAATTAAAATAACAATTTTACACCCGAATAAGTACTCTTACTAGCAGTTACATATGTCGAACGAGTCTTTGCATCTCGAGAACCTGCAGGGCGTAGAGATATGACTCTTCTCGCTGGATAAGGGAAGATAATGGAGAGGGCACCATAACACCATGCACCCTGCCCACCTGCCTCCATCCCCCTCCTCCTGCTTGCCTGTCTGCCCATGCACCCTGCCCACCTGCCTCCATCCCTCTCCTCCTGCTTGCCTGTCTGCCCATGCACCCTGCCCACCTACCTCCCTTCCTCCCTTCTTGTTTGGCTGGCTCCCTCCTTCCCTCCTTCCTTCCCTCCCTCACTCGCTGGGCTGCGGGAGTCATGGGAAGTAGTGTACAACGAGAGTTAGACCAGGCATTTCACTTGTTTATCTCCCAGTGGTAAAGGTTCTCATTTTATATTCAGCAGACAAATTGACCCCTGGCTTTGGAGACATATTTTTAGGCTTTAAATGTTGACTTATACGTATGTATACAGTATATGGCAATTCATAATTAATTCTGTGATTATCAAAAGATTCTAAAATCTCTTGACATATTTTTTTGACTTCTCCTCAAGTGTCAGGACTATGAATTAGCATAATTAATTACCATAATTGAGTAGTGGTGGCAGTGGTTAACATCAATTAGCAATCTTATACTGTGTAATTATTCTGTTAGTTGCTTAACAGTCAGATACCTTTGTGTATGGTTGGTTGAATTCACGCTTGACATGTGCTAAGGCTGTCGGATCTACTGAAAGGGTAGACGGTGGTTTGGTTCCATGTTGTAAATATATTTAATGATAAGGATAATTATAAAAGTGGAAAGTGCTGACAATGTTGTTGACCATAGGAAGACAAATATGAATGGCAGAAGCAGTGTTGGCCAAGATAATCAGTCATTACAAGTGTCCATTACATCTGGTGATGTTACTAGGAGTAACAAGAAAACAGCACCTGAAACCAAGGTTGTGCCAACCACCAAGGAGCCAGAAGGATCACCCTTCTACTGTAGGACTCCAACCATGCCAGCACCCAGAACAACAGCCAGACCAGAGGAAAAAGGGAAAGAAACCCCTATCTAGACCAGTTCACCCAAAAGGTGCCCACTGCCAGGCCTCATAGTTGGGGCACCGCTTCAAGAGGCAGACATTGAGACCATACCAACGGCAAGAGGTCAACGTCCAGCAAAGAAAGGAAGGAAGAGGCATCGATGGTCCATTCCATGGAGATGGGAAGACGACCCTCAGCCAGGATGTTGGATACTCCCAGAACATAAATGGAACAAAGAGCCAAACCACGAGAACTTAGCACATGAGCTATTCTCCGCAGTGTCTGCCATATGGCCACAAAGGCCTAAACCATACTGTGCACCTAACGAAGGGAGGAGGCCAATGATCCTGGCTGAACTGGTGAGCATTGGACACAAAGCCCCATCCGAGAGTCAAGGTGTCCATGACGACGTTGAGTGAGTTCGGAGGAACGCCCCAGGAAATCGATCCCCGAAACCCGAAGAGGAAACTGGCGATACAGCACCTAGTGCAGGGCCCCTGGAGTCTGCGCCTAGCAATCGCGACATGGGCCACCATCGAAGAACCAGAACAACCTCTGAAGCCAAATCATCCCAAAAAGAAAAACCAGAAGGGCAAAGTGCAGGATCCACCATACAACTGCTCAAGCAACCGCCAAGACACCCAGCTCCCCTCCTCATCAGGCGGTGCTGCAGCTGGAACAGAAGTTCCAAGCTAGGCCCAACCAGGTCCGAACCTGGGACTAAAACCAACTGGGACTTTTGCCAGTTCACCTGGAACCAGAACCTGGCGAGCTAGAAAGAACTAGATCCCTGCCTAGCAGACATGCAAATTGGCTGGGAGCCCACACCAGCCAGTCGTTGAGGTAGGCCAACAGCAGAACATTAAACAATTGAAGAAGGGCCACCGCGACTAGAGTTAAATGCGTAAAAATGTGAGGTACTAGATTGAGCCAAAATGGGCGAACCGGAAAACAGAAAACCTGCCGCCCCTCAACAAAACCTAACCAATTCCCAAACCTCAGATGGATAGGAACAAGCCAATACGAGTCCTAGGATGTCCAGATATATCATCCAAGCGTCTGGCTCGTTCTCGAGCCAGACCTAGGACAACGTGGTTGTCTGAAAGGAGGGGCACGGGATGAACCAGTTCAACCTGCACAGGTCGAGTATGAACCGAAGATCTGAAGAATTCCATTTTGAGACTGGAACAAGGCGGGAAAACCCAACGAAGAGTCATGTCGACTATGCCCAAAGCTACCCACTCTGAGATGACCTGATGATCTCACCAGATGGGAACTCTGTACACCAACAGTAGATTCAAATGTTGCAGAGTACCTAAAAATTCTGAGGATGGTATATGCCCCATGGGGTGAACATCTGAGGGTGTTATGTGCAGTGCAAGGTTTAACCATCATTTAATAAAATAATTGTTTATACTGTATGCAGTATGATTACATAGAAGCCCGTTTCATAAGCAAAGTTTTCATCAAACTGCTGCAGGGCCAAGAAACACTGCCCCAATAGCAGAAGTGGTAGTATATTTTTTCAGTTTATTTTTATAAATGTATGTCTTGGAAACCTTTCATATTATACTGTATTTTAATTGATTGTAGTTTAAACAATTTGGGGAGATTGTGCATTGTCAAATTGAAAATTGGACAACAATCATCATATACAGTATTATGTATATCTATCATCAATTTAACCTTCATTTTTTAATAATTCATTGCTCATTAATCTACTAACCTTAACTTTTACACATTTTAAATGCCTATCAATCAATCAATGTTAACTGTAGCACCAGGCCACTTACGTCACTAGACATCTTCCTGGACAAGTGATTGAATCGTGTTGTTCGTGGCGATTCCGCTGTCCGGCTGTACCCCACCTCATTACTGCCACCTTGGGCTCTGTCTATCTTGCTGCTACTTGGCTTTGATGACACAGTGACCTTAATCCTGTTCTGTGTGTTACATTTAATCCAAGGAAATATTAACAAGGCAGTGATATATATATTTTGGTAAAATGTGTGTGTTTGTGCTAGAGTAATCTAGCAAAAAGATATTAATATTTTAATAATAAAATTATATTATCACGGAATATCAAGTTTGAAAATTATTTGAAAACCCTAAAATAAAGAATATAAATTTTATGTCAAAACTACCTACCAACCCACATGTTAGACAAGGATGGGAATGAGGGGACATATCAGTACTATGTTAGACATGGATTAGATGAAAAAAATTGAATGTACTCCAAAAGCATTAAAGAGAATATTAAATGAGCACTGAATGAAATGAAACACTTCTTTCTTTTAGGTATTTCGTAATCTCTCCTAGCTTTCCACCTGGCTAGCCGACATGTTTAAGAACCGCACCAGGCTCTCCAGCACGGCAACCATGTTGACGCTAACCAAACTGTCGCAATGTAACAGGGGCCAGCCTTTAACCCCACTTACTGGTTAAATGCTGGAAGTTATTAGGCAAATGACACGAAGCTGTGACTTGTATTTTTGTCTATATCAGATATGAGAATAAGGAACAGCAGTGGTGCAAGGACTGTATCTTGAGGTACAGAGTTTTTAACTGCGCTCGGACTAGATTTTACTTGATTGACTGTTTCTCTTTGTGTTCTGTTCGACAGGAAATTGAGTATCCAGCGTCCTACTTTACCAGTTATACCCATTGACCTCATTTTGCGTGCAATTACTCCATGGTCACATTTGTCGAATGCCTTTGCAAAGTCTGTGTATACAACATCTGCATTCTGTTTTTCTTCTAATGCCTCAGTGATTTTGTCATAATGGTCAAGTAGCTGTGAGAGGCATGATCTTCCTGCTCTAAGTCCATGTTGGCCTGGATTGTGGAGGTCATTGATTTCCATGAATCTAGTGACCTGACTCCTGATCACTCTCTCAAATACTTTTATGTGTGACGTTAGTGCAACTGGTCTATAATTCTTTGCTAATGCTTTTCTACCTCCCTTGTGTAGAGGGGCGATGTCTGCTGCTTTCAGTGCATCTGGTATCTCCCCTGTGTCCAAGCTTTTTCTCCACACTATACTGAGTGCCTGTGCTACTGGCACTTTGCATTTCTTTATAAATATTGAATTCCATGAGTCTGGACCCGGGGCTGAGTGCATGGGCATATTGTCAATATCTCTTTCAAAATTTGCTACGCTCGTGTTGATATCAGTTATATTTACAGGGGTTTGTATATCACTCATAAAGAAATTGTCCGAATCTTCCACTTTCATGCTGTGTATCGGAGTGTTAAACATGTCCTCAAACTGCTTTTTTAGGATTTCACTAATTTTTTTGTCATCCTCAATGTATGAACCTTCACTAATACGAATAGGTCCAATATACTGGCAGTGGTTTTTGCTTTTGATTTAGCATATGTGAAGAAATATTTTGGGTTTTTCTTTATTTCTTGAATTGCTTTCTGTTCTAGTTGCCTTTCTTCAGTCTGATAGAAATGCTTCAGTCTCTGTTTGATTTCTTCAATCTCCTGTTTAAATTATTTCTTCTTTGTATTGTGACGGTAATCTCCTTCAAGAGATTGAGCCTGCTCTTCCCTCCACAAATACGTCGCAACAAATATATATAACTACTAGGGAAGAAATGTCCAACAACGACAACAACATCTCCAAGGTTTGCCAGAGCGCAAAACGTATGCAGCCAGGGCCACCTGTTCAGACTCAAATCGCCAAACTACCTGTCTTACTACCGGCTCCGCTGATTGGTCGCCGGTCTGGCTGCACCTGCACTCGCCCCCCCCCATACTACTTGATGTCTGGGGTCGCCACGACCTCAGACCTCAGAATATTCAGTGCTTCCACAGTTAACACTTCTCCCGGCTAGACGTTAGCGTGTACTGAGAGAGGTGGTAGCTTAAAGCCAATATTCCAGCACCTCACATTTATTTTTGTATTGCACTTCTTGTTATTTTGTCTTAACGTAACTTTTCATTGTGTCATTTAATTATTCTTATTATTTTTGATTGATTGATTTTATTATAAGAATTTGTTTGTCCATTTTATTCATGTTTTGATTTATTTAACGTAATTAAAATTTCATTGTTAAAGTTTACTTGTGTTTTGTGTGTCTTCTCCTTACCTTACCACAGACGAAGTTCCAGTTTTTTCTATTTTTTTTTATAACTATGTGACGAGGCCATACCCCTAGCCTTAAACAGCCGAACACCAACGCGTTACCGTCACAAGTTATATGGGGGCCTGTCCTAGGAGCTTCACTCAGGTACTGGTGCCAAGTGGTAATTTATGGTAAGCGTATTTAACTTTGTTAACGTAGCTTTACTATTTTTCATATTCAATTTCATTTTTTATAAGGTGCGGTGTATTGTGCATTACGAGAGTAACATATGGTGAAGGTGAGACAACTTTGGATTACGTGGTGACTGTAGGCCGCAGTCATACTCTTAATTGGTCATCTCTCCCTCCGTGTTATTACTCGTGTTTACCATCTATGTCCCTTGAATATTTCTCATTTTGACAGATCATCATATTGGTACCCTGGTACTGTGGTCTGCCCCGGGTCAAGAGTACCCAATCTTCTGCAATCTGACTGTAGGAGGACAAAGAGGGCCATAGTTCCTCTAGCTCGAACTTTAGTTGCTGAATTGGGACCTCAGCAGCAGTTCTCGTCACCAGTTGACACCTCGCACCCCTACACGTCAGTCAGAGATGATGATACATACAACGGTAGGGAATTAGCTTACTTTTCAGAGCACAAAAGTTCGCTAATTCTGTAGTATCATACTAAATTCAGTAGGAAAAACTTGCTTTATGTCCTATAGAGACTTGGCAAGGTATGCCTACATTCTTGGACTACCAATTTTACTTTTGAAGCATTTAACTGTTTCATTTGTTTTCGAAACTCTGTTTCATTTGTTAGTAGGATTTTCTTGCCCTTATCCTCTTACATGAGTACTGGGTACAAGATTTCCTGCGCCCTTGATTTAATTTAATCATTTAACATCTTTTACTTAACTTTAATTGTTAAAGATCTCACAGGATAGGTACCAGTTGCCACGTTGTCCTGTTTCTGACATTTCACTATTGAATATTCGTGTACCTTTATTTGCTAATTTCACCATGTTTCGTCTCCAAGCTTTCCGTACAAATCCAGCAGGTGAAATAGGGACTTTAAGTCGTGCCAAGAAGACTGAATTACAAACTCTTGCACATGAGTATCAACTAGAAGTTCCCTACCAAGCCAACAAAAATGACCTACACAACCTGTTGCTGGATTACTATTTAGAGCAAGGTAAGATAGACTCTGAAACTCATGAAACTTACTATATTGCAGAAAAAACTGATTTGGCAACGCTGAAACTCAAACTAGAGCTGGCCAAGATTGAACGTGAGCAGCAAAGAGAAGCAGCTGCCATACGTAGGGAAGAACAAGAACGAGAAATCACCCTCAGAGAACGTGAAACTGCTTTGAGGAGAGACGAACAAGAACGCGAGGCTGCTTTGAGGAGAGGAGAACAAGAACGAGAAATCACCCTCAGAGAACGCGAGGCCGCTTTGAGGAGAGAAGAACACGAACGTGAGGTCACATTACTCCGTGAACGTGAACGAGTACAGCTTGAAACACTCCAGGAGCGGGAACGCGTACAGCTTGAAACCAAACAACGCGAGTTGGAGATGCAACGCGAGCATGACAAGCAACAAGCGACTCTGGCTCTAGAATGTCGTCAACGTGAAATCGGCTTGGAAACTTCACACTTCACTCAACGCCAACAAGCTACTGCCAATCTTCCCGTCAGTTTTAATATATCACATGCAAGTAAGTTAATGCCATCCTTTGTAGAAGCAGAAGTTGATGTGTTTTTCACCACCTTTGAAACTCTTGCTAATCAACTCAGTTGGCCTGTCGACCAATGGGCCACACTTCTCAGAGTCCATCTTACAGGTAGAGCTGCAGTCACACTCAGTACTCTGGCGTCTGAGAATGACTACCACACTCTGAAACAAGCAGTGTTGGACGCCTACCTACTTTCCACCGAAAGTTATAGAAGGAAATTCCGTGACCACCTGAAGGCAAGTACCACTACCTTCCTTGAGTTTGCTAACACGAAACGGAGGTATTTCATGAAATGGCTGGAAGCAGTACATGTCTCTACTTTTACAGAACTCGTCAACCTGATGCTTGTTGAAGAATTCTTGAGACGTGTGCCGCCTCCTGTCCGCCTCTACTTAGCAGATAAAGAAGAAACCGACTACCTGAAGTGTGCTAAGTCGGCTGACACTTACAGCCTCATCCACCGGCTGACACCCGAACCGTCCTCCAGTAAGAAGTCGTGGTACAGTTACGAGAAGGTGAGCCCCGATCAAGCTGGTTCACAACTGTACTGCAAGTATTGTAGACTCTATGGACATACCATAGACAAGTGTGGTAAGTCTCAATACAAGGGAATCACTGACCAACAACGACCCAAACCAACTCCTCCTAAGTCCGGTAAGCCTGTGATGAATGTTGGTGTTAATGTTAATGATCTTTCTCTTTTCAGTAACCACCTGTATACTGGAACTGTCTCTGCCAATGGTTCAAATCCGGAGGGACGTTTCAAATTGAAGATCTTGAGGGACACAGCGGCTCTTCAATCGATCATCTTGAAGTCGGCTGTGCCCAACATCACCTACACCGGAGAAACTGTCTTCATCACTGACCTCACTGCTACCACTCCATACCCTCTCGCCAGAGTCCACCTGGATTGTCCCTACGTGAACGGGGAAGTCAAGTCGCCGTCAGGGAAAAGCCTTTTCCCATGCCTGGAGTGCAACTTCTCCTAGGCAACGACTTGGCAGAAGACCTGCAACCGACCAACCTGATCGTCATGGACAAACCCCAGGTGTGTAACTCTGTGCCAAGTAACCCTATTCTAGAGTATGTTCCAGCAGAGGTTCAAGAGAGTGATGAAGTTTCTCCTCCGGTTC